AATATTTATTTATATAATTTTTTAAAAATTTTAATCTATTTTATAAACTGTACTATTTTCAGTACAAAACAGTAAATTCAATCTATTAATTAATTAAAAAGAAAAAACTATAGCAATAGATTTACCTAAGTTTACACCATTTTTAGTGTAAAATACCATCTTATTTATAAAATTTAAATAGCATCCAATTATATCACGAGTAGTATATGGTTTTCCATGTCGCCCTCCGTATAGCTCGCAGCTTCCAGAACAAAAAGAAAATCCATCGTCACCATGATAACCACAACTCCATGATTCATTTTCCTTATATTCCTGTCCTAAGGATATTTTATAGATGTTAATCTGTAACAATAAGAAAATAAAATAAAAATTTGATATTACCAGGCATGAGCATATCATTTATATAGGGTGAATCATCTATCGCCATTTTTTTATTGCTTTGATTTGTACAATATCCAACTCCAATCATTCTATCAAGAAATAGATTAAAGAAAAGATTGCAAGAACAAAGGATAATGTTTATGATACAAAGTTATTATTATTATTATTACCCATTTTTTCCTTTATTTATAATTTTAATTTCAAAGTAAAATATCCCACATTGTGAAGGGATTGGATTATTTGCTCGAATTATAGCAGCTTTATAATCATCAGGGTCTTAATTAAAAAGTTTTTTTTAAATAAATTAAAAAGTTATAATGATATTCTTTAATTAAGCTACCAACGATTAGTGCTTATTAAATATGTTTGTGCTTTTTTATTTTTTATCTTACTTGTATATTTCACTTTAAGTCCACTTGAATCTATGTCAATAAATGGTGATTTGTCTTCAATATCCCACGCAGTCGGGAAAACAATATCATTGCATGAAGTTATTGATTCTAAATCTTCCATTAGATCAAAATTTTAGTACAGATCTTAGTTTAGACGATTAGTGAGCAATTTATAGAATTATAGATTTGGCGTGTGAATACAAGCATTGTGTTATCGAACACAACATACTATTTACAGTATGTACGTACGTACGTACGTACCGGGTACTGTGCGTACGTATACACATCATCCGTCTCAGTCCATAAAATTAGCGGGACGTCCCAAACTATGTGATGAATAATGTCACGCGGTTTCGGCAATGACAATAAGTATAAGGCAGTAAATACCTAATGTGATATTATTCATCACGTAGTTTGGACAAATAGTTTTGGTAACATCACTACATAATTAATAGAATGTACGTATGTACGTAGCTTCTCTGTTATCTGCTATGTTCCGGACAACAAAAATTTTAATAAAGATAGTGAATAACTAACTCGTTACTTCACTGACGGTCTAAAAAATTTATATCATCCAGGATATAGCCTAGGATAATTCAACAATGTGACAAAATTAGTCTTATGTATAAAGCTATAAATGCCTAATGGAATTCCAATTACCAACTGGTTTGGTCGTCCTATACTGATAGAATTTGGGCTACATCAACTCGGGGGAATACAGTTTAAATTATTGTTCGCATTCGGCTAAATTAATTAAATTTATTAGTCCTCTTCACAAGTTACTGGTGATGGCCAATATCAGAAACTATTTGGTCATAGCAATTTTTCAGTGTCTCTGGAATAATGAAATCGAATTGTCCCATTGAGTAAAAATTAAGGTTACAATTATGACAAAATCGTAGCTATGATGTAACAATAATTAACATCATTTTGAATGTTTTCGAAACTTCCTTATGATAGATTCGTTCATCCAAGAACAGCTCAATTAATTTGAATTAGTATTTACAATTTCTAAGATAATCTATAGTGTGCCTTCATATACATGGGCTAGTGTTGCAAAAAAGAAAGAAATCGACAAATTTTCAAAAAAAAAAAAATTCACATAAATCAATTTAGAATAAGATCAAGATCACTTTTTTTCATTGAAATTTCTTATGTTTTATTATAAATTTTTAACATAAAAACTGATCTTTTGTTTTTGTTAATTTCTCTCTTTTTACAGCACTCAGCCCATATATAAAATTTGCTACGTACCCGTAAATTCTCGAAATAGTGGGCATGCGCGTTATTTCGAAAATCGCACCCCTAAACTAGCATAGTTAGTTAGTTTCGAAATAACACCCATGCGCGTCTAAAAATAACGCGCATCTCATGTAATATGTTTAATGAATTTTTAATATTTGTAGCAACCTGGGTTTGAAATTGACTCTTTGTTTCAAAATAATGTATTTGAAATAACGCGATCGATTTATGGTATCTACAGTATAAATTGCAGATGCTATATAAATTTATAATTTATTATTCGAGGGCTGCTTAGATTTGCAGTAAAAATTATTAAAGTTTATAGTTAAATTGTAGTTTGGCTTAGATTTGGTTAAACTAATTTAATTTTAAACCAAGGTGATAAATTTTTATATTATAATGAAAAGGTTAATTAAATATTAAACATGCTTTATAAATTACGTTTTTTCTTATTTTTTTGACATTTACTAAATACACCTATAATGTTTTATGTCTATGCATATATTATTTCAAAAAATAATCAGTAATCTTAAGTAAAATTATTCTTCACCTCTAAAGACCTTTCCTAAGCCTAATACTAACCTTAAATACTAACAATAATATAAAATTATAAAAATAAATAAAAATATAAATCTTTGTTTATTAAAAAATCTGATATATATCTTTAAAGTTTAATTTAATATATATATTTTAAACTGTACTTTCTTTTTTACTATATATTTAGCTAATTTTGCTAAAACATGCTACAGTATTTTATTTTTAAATATACAGTAAATATTTTTGTTGCTGAGTTTACAAAAAAAAAAAAATTAAAAATATAAAAAAATAAAAATAAAACATTCTTTAGTATCTTTTTTTTAAAAAAAATTTTTAAACAACTATCAAAACAAATTTAATAAAATTTTTTATTTTAATTTTATTAAAATAAAAAATTTATAAAATTTGGTTTGATAGTCGTAAAGATATTTTAAAGTTTAAAAAACTTTACTTATTTCATTTCTATTGAATCCCCCATATACTGCCTTTGCTTTCATAAGCTGCTTTCAAGACAAAGACAATCAACAAACTGTAAATTATATCTTTTTTTGCCATTAATATCCCTGATATTCAATCCAAATCAGGTTTAAATGATTGAATATCTTAGCTTAGGCAGACACCTTACGATATAAGGAATAACAAAATTTAATTCTAGTACGTATCACTGTGCTTCAATGAATAATAAAAATTAACAAATTCTTTACATATTATAAAGATATAAATGGTTGTACAATATATATATATATATATTTTAAATGCTGACGAATTAGATAAAATCTTTTTTTAAATATTAGCGAATTAGACAAGTTTTAGTATGCAAGCACGTACATATAACATATAAAAGTACAATGACTCGAAAATTTTTGTAACCTTAACGTTATTTAGTTGGTTTAGCATATAACGAAGTTTGATATATAAGTTGCAGTAAATTAACCTTTTTAGAATTTTAATTTGAAACAACAATAATCACAACAAACAATGAATATTGTACTTGTTCAAAAAAAGCTTAATAAATTTAGCGTAACGGTAATACGTATTTAGCCAATCATTAAACATTAACTGTTATATATATTACTGTATTAAGTATTTACGTATAATAGCTTAGGGTTAACCCATAATGTAAATTCTTAAATTCTTTGATTTAAACAATTACATTTTAAATTTGGATTGTAATGAAAACTTCTATTACAGTATTGTTTTTCTGGGGAAAAACCTAACGTTAGATAATCGATATCAAAGTTTCGACTTTTGAACATTCCCAAATTAATTAATCATGCAAAATACTAAATTTATGTGAAAAAGTCAAATATACGTATAAGTGTGCGTAAAGTTTTACGTACGTATGTATATCGTTACAAGATCGGAGTATTCAAATTAAGGTTCTAAATTCGGAAGACAATCGTTGGGTTACATGCCAATCTACGTAATGTATGAATGGATGATCTACACTTCAATTCTGCAATTCGTCAATTGTAAATTCCCTCGTCATTGTCATAATGGATTACAAAGAAAATTTAATTCTAAATTCGTTATCACGTGAGCAGTATCTACTTACGTACTGTACTGTACGTACGTACGTACATTACCTGGTACGTACATATTATACCTGATACGCTGATACGTACGTACGTACGTAGGTACGAACGATTTATATTGCCTCTCTTAAGTTGCCTAATATCGTTTAATTAGTTATCTTTACGAACTGAAGAACATTTATGTATTGTAGATATTGCAGTTAAAAATATCACGTTCTTGCTTAAAAATGTATCATAATTTAGACTTTTAAAAAAGATCGTCACAATAGAAATAATTTCTGTGTCCACATTTGTTATATAACACGAGTAGAATATATATATTTAGTCTGGTCTCCGAACAAAAATCTGTCGCTTTCTCGAAAAAGTATTTTGTGTGCCTTCTTCTCATTTTTTGATTGTTTCAATCTTATTCTCGAAAATCACAGTTTCTTTTTACAACTTTTTTTTTTATAAAATTTTTCAACAAAAAAAAAAATGAAGAGAAAAAATTCGGTTTTCATTTTTCCTATTAATTCTAGTACATTTTTACGTTTATCGACAATATCTTCATCTAATCAGGGAACGATCAAGATTACTGACCTTCCACTTGATATTTTCATTGAAATATGTTCTCATCTTCCGCCTATGACACTTTTCTCAATGATGTGTGTTTGCAAACAATTTCATTATTGGTTATATTCTACCACATCATATATTACCCGTGATATCTGGCGTATTTCAAGACTAAAATTTCTTGAATATTTACAACTTCATCCACCTAATCAGATGGATGAAATTTCATATATTAAGTTGGCAATGTTACAGAAAGGATGTCAATTTTGTTCGAGTAAAAGAGAAACTCCTAAAATTTTTTGGGCATTTCGTATTAGAAGCTGTAGGAAATGTTTGGAACAAAGAATTATATTGTAAGAAACGTGTTATTAAATTTTATTAAATTTTATTGATTTTATTAATTTTATTGATTTTATTGATTTTATTAATTTTATTAATAATATGATTATTTTAATTAATATTTAATTTTTTTTTTTTCGTAAATAGTGATGAGACTCCTTCGTGGGCAAGAACTCCTATTGATGTCACTTTAGTATTACCTCATGAACATATTATTCCATACGGTCAGATATTCAAAGTTCGTGGCTATTTGACCAGTGATGTAAGAGCTGCGCATCGTGAATGTATTTCTATACCTTCAGAAAATATAATAGATTGGATCAGACACAAACAACAATTAGCAACCGAGATTATAAATGATGCTGAAATGCGTAAGAAAGTTGATGAAGAAATATTAATAACCAAAATTAAAGAGAATCGTAGAATATTTGAATCTGCAATTTCAACTTTATTAAATACAAAGGATGGATATGGTCATAAAAAGTATATAGAAAAATATATTATAATTTTACCATCTTATAAAAAAGCAAAGGATGGACTATCGAAACCTTTTATGACAAGTCCTTGGTCAAATTTATTGGACAATATGAAATCTGAATATTTCAAGTTAATGAAATTAAAACGTCGTCGTCAGATCATTAGCACACTTCTATCTATTATAACTTCTCATGATACAATTTCTTCAAAAATTACTTTATCTGATCCAATTGTCGATTGTATTCATTGGTGTCCTTCTTTTATAAATCCTCCATATGTTAATGATGATCCTTTTATTCCATGGTCAAAGGAATTTTTGGTTGAAACATTAATTAAACGATTACGAAAAGAAGCAAGATCTTTGTTAAAGAATAAAAATTTTTTACGTCCTGGACCATTCACAAGTGTACATGGAGCAAAAAATCTTTTCTCTTGTTTATATTTAGACGAAAAATCATATAGATGCAAATTATGTTGGAGCGATTTTACTACATCATATACTTATAAAAAAATTTACATTCATCTAATAAGTTGTCGATGGGGACGTTCAATTGAGAATATTGATGAGGAAAAAATGATTGAAGTTGATAGATCTGTTGTTCATAAGTATATTCCGCAATGGTTTAAATATTTTAATGTTGAAAAATAACATTTCAGGTTTGTTAAATTAATCTTTAGTTTTGTGAATTTTTTAGTACTGGAATTACGTATGAATAACATTTATAGTGTCCATAATGAGATGAAAGTTTTGGTTTGATTCATTTTGATTCTGGATTACTTTCGATATTTGCATGTAAAAATCTATTTTACCATATCAGTTATGGTATTAAAAAAAAAAAAAACAAAAAAAGTAATAAATAACAATAATTAATAATAATAACTAATAATAACGATAAATATTTTTATATTTTTAATTATTATCATTCATTCATTCATTCATTAAATTCGTTAATTCTGTAATTCGTGTGAAAAAAAATATTAGAGTTAGTGTATCCCAAATATAAATAATATATATCGATATATAATATTGGTTCGATATCTAGATAAATCCATTCCATAAATAACCTGTTTATCGTTTATATAATTTTCTAAAAATGAAATGAATACACTAATTACTATATATATATATATAACCTATATCTATGAATGAATATATACTAATTATTAGAATTATTAGAATTATTAGAATTATTATCGTTATATCAGATACAGTATTACAGTATTACAGTATTATATAGGTATGTACGCACTATCTTTTAGTGAGTTTTTCTGATAATCAACATCAAAAACTTTGCTAGCTTTTTTAATTAGCCAATGACTCAACCTATTTCTAGTACGTAAAACCAATTTTCTTATAACATCTTTCAAACATTTAATAACGACTTTTAAATGTTCGTTACTAAAACTTTTTGAATCAACAATTTCAAAACTATCTAATCTCATGAACTTACATTTATTTAAAAGTATTTCTAGACAATAAGGATTAAATTCCCACATTGATCCTTCAAATCTTAACTTTTTTAATTTTGTTAATTGTAAATTGTTCATTGTTTTTTCTAATTCTTTAAATATTCTATTAACTTGGCTTGATTTTCGTGTTGATCCAGCTAACGTTATCGTTTCAAATTTATTACAAGAAAATATTATTCCAAGTTGAGAAATTTCATCAGGATATAAATATAATTTAAGATGCTTTAAAGTAGGATGCAATGTTGGTATTTGACTAATTATTTCTCGAGAGCCTGATATCAAATTTTGTTGACTAGAATTATCACAATGGGTTCGTTTTCCAAGATTAAACGTTTCCAAATTTGGATAAGAAAGTTTTAAAAATATTTCCAACATTTCATTTGTAATATATGATCCATTAAAATTGAGTTCAGTAAGACATGGAAAATTTAGTTTGGTCAATATTGATGGAATAGTTTCATCTGGTTCATCTTTAAAACTTGATGAAATAAATTCAAGTTGTTGAAGTTTTTTTAAAGATATTAAATAACTTAATATCTCATATCCAAAAAGTTTAACGTTTATAAAACTTAAAGATTTCAATGAATTAATTTGAGTCTTTAATGCTACCATTATTGTTGATAATCCTTCTGAACATACGTGTAATCTCAGGCTGCATAATCCTTTTTGTGACTCGATTAATGTAGCCAAACAATATGCCTCATTTTCAACTTTTTGTTGTTCATAAGTTCTTACTACATCATCACCTGATAAATCACGTTGATAACTAATAGTTATTGCCATAAATTTAATATTATGTGAAAATTTTGATAAAGAGAGTAATAAGTTGGCTTTTCGACGTTTTGTTGTACATATTAATTCTGTAAGTTGATTTAAACATGGTTCAACAACAGAATAATAATTTAAAGATTCATAATCCTCTATAGGAAGATTATAATAATCTAACCGAAATGTCTTTTCTTTTCTAAGTGATGAACAAAAATATTCATTCGACTTTCGAGTATAAAGGTGTCGTTGTTCAATTGATATTTGTACTAATTTTGGACATAATAATATTATGAACCAATAAATCACGACATGAATAATTATAAAAAAATTCATGATATATTAAAGAATTTCCATTCATAAATGTGCTTCTTGCTAAAAATTTAATGAATATAGCACAATCTATTGATTTTTGCCCACCAAAATATCTCGTCGAATTCTTTTTATAAAATTTATTATATTCGGTTTTTTATATGTCGTCACATGATATGATGTTCTCGTCCAATCATCGATCGAAGAATATAATTCATTTAAATCAATATTCTGCAAACATTCTATATAATTGAATAATGGTGGTGGTGGAAGTTCTATAGTAGGTTCTTCTTTATGAAAATCTTCTTTATATTTATGCATAAGACATGAAAGATATACTAACAATAAATTTGCTGATTGATATCTTCGTTTTTCTGATGAACATTTACATTGTCTTTTCTTACATGTATATAAAAGTTTAAAAGGTTGACTCCATAATATACGAACTGTCTCTTGAAACCAGAAGCGACATACAAAAAGACACGAATGTAAAGTTCTTTTATCATTTTTAAGATTATAAAGAATTGGAAGAAGACATTCACGAGGAAGTGACGGTAACGATGTGTTAGAATGTTTGCTTCGATTAAAAGGAATGAGATCGAACATCATATTTAAAAATATTTTGGTTTTAAACGTCAAAAATCATTTCCGAGCAATTGAAAAAAAAAACTTGTGTATTATCTGTTGTGATATGTTGATATGTCTGAACGATTCATTTTATAGTAAAAATATCTATTGATGAAATTTCATATGATTTGAAGATCGTAAATCATGATTTACTAATTAGCTATATTGACATTTTTTTTATTTAACAAATTAATAACTGTATAATCTGTATGGGCGATAGGTGATTATTTAAAATTGGTCCATCTAAGGGTGCAGTATATCCGTTTCATTCATTTAAAGTAAAAAGAAAAAAAGCTGCCGAATATGGTTCCGTCTCTATATATAATAAATATCCGACCTTCCGTTTTTTACTTATTTTGTCATCACTAAAGACTTTGACCATGAGACTTTTTTATTTATTTATATTGATAATATTAATTAAGTGAATTTTAGAAAATTTAACGCACAGTTCTTATTGATGACGAATTTCAGATCGTTTGTGTGTGGTAAATTACATGGGCTATCTGCTAGGAAAATCACCGTTTAGCATTTTCTGACTTATTTTAATTAAAGATTAAGTTAAATCATCAAAAATCACCAATGGCATTTTATGAGCAAATTTTAAGATTTTAATTCAAGTTAATGTATCAATTCTTATTAAGATTTTTATAATACATTAATAAAATTTGGAAATTTTTAGATTTGAAAAATTAATTCTTCGTAAAACAAAAATATATCATTCTAAAAAATCAATTAGAAAATTGTTAATTTAACTTGGTGCGAATTGAGTTCAAGCATTTAACCTTGTTCGTACAAAAAAAATTATAACTTAGTTTCGTGTTTTTCTCAAAAGATGACCATCAACTAGAGATGCTAGTGAAATTAGATTCGCCAATTTCACCAGTTTCACCAATAGTGGTGAAATTATTTCACCAGCATCTTTAGTGATAACCACAGCAGAAAATCTATGTTCCGGTAAAATTTCGCTGACAGCTATAAATTCGGACTAGCGAAACTATTGTTGGAGAAATTGGTTTATACCTGTTCGTATATTTATATTTGCGTCATGAAACTGCAGTTCAAACAATGAAATTTTCTCACATGACCCGCAATTTCGATGGCCGACAGTGATTTTTCTAGTAGATGACATTGTTAAATTACGCGGAACAGTACGATATGAATGACCATTTCCGTAAGGGATTGATGTAAAATACTATTTTAAAATCCGTGCCGGTTTTATATAATATTAGGGTTATAAAGCAGATTATATAGTATTATTTTTTAAAATAGGTATTTTACACCTTCATACCTAGAGTCTGATATAAAACTGAATCTACCGAATCTATATATAATACAAAAAGATCGGACGTTAATATGTCTGTATAACTAATCTAATCAAATTTTGGTACGTATTTTTACCTATCAAAAGGATATTAGTTCTGATAGGCACATCTGACATTCAATATCAAAATGTATTGGATATCTGTTATGCCTATATTCTTCTGATAAGTAAAAATACGTACTATAAATTGATTGTCTATCAGGCATATCAATGTCTGATCTTCTGCTGATATCTTATAAAAATTTTAAAATTTGACATGTAATATCATATGATGAAATTTTTTCATCGGGAATTAATATCACTTTCATATGGTGAAAAATATTATTATTGCTATTTGGGATATTATTCCAGTAAATTCCAAACTAAGTTTTGGTAATTTGGGATTCGGCAGGTTTGGGTGACACAACTAGTAATGCTGTAAAGCCCCCTAGCGCTAAAATTTCGCTAATCACGTGCTGGCAAATCAAATTTTTTTCTTAACGCTAACACTACAATACCATTAAGATATATATATATTTTTTTATTATTAAAAAAAAAGAAAATTTAAGCCTAATTTTTTTTAATATTCTTTATTTATTAAAATTAATAGTGGCTATTTTTTACAAAAAAAAAACAGAAATAACTCTTAAGAAATCATCCTCTGCAGCCTAATTAAAATGCACCTTGTAAAATTTTACTAATAGAAACTTTCTTCCTAACCCTAACTCCAGTGTTGGATATTTTACCTGTGAATTAAATATTTTAGCCTAATAAAGTTGAGGCAAAATTGCCGAATTATAAAAAAAAAATATTTTAAACAACTATTATTAAATAACAAATATAGATTTACTTAGTACAATTTTAACTTTATATATAGAAACTACTTTTATTTAATAGGTATCTATTAGCTCTTTGTACTAAATTTAGTACAAATTAAAAAAATTATTTTACAATGGCAAACTAATAATTTTATTTGAAATTTTGCTAAAATATACTTTAAAACTAATACTTTTATTATTCTAAATTTTAGCAGTACTTATTAATAAAAATTTGCATAAATATATTTTAAGCTTCTTTAAATTTTGCATAAATTTTGCTATACTTAATTTAGTATAGCTTGGAAAAGGCTATATTGTACAAAAATTTATAAAAAAATAAAAAAAAAATTAAAATTTTAAATTATTTTAGATCTAACTTTTGATTTAGAATAGTTAAAAAAATAAATAATAGATTTTTAAAATAGTTCAATTAAATCTGTTTTCATGTAACATAGTCTAAAAATAGTTAGTTTTTATAGTAAAACATAGAAAAAACATATAAAAAATTAGTAAAATTAAATAATATATAACTTTTTATCTACTGAACCAATTTTATTATTTTTTTTATCAAAATCTCAAAAAAATTGATAAAGAAGACAACTCTTCCTAATGATCACCTGGACCAAAATTTTTTGCTAAAGAAAAACCAGAACTACTTGTTGGAGAGTCGTGGCCTATACAGTGATTTGTCTAGAGGTCAACTACTACTTTCGGGGACTCCTCTAAAGAAGAACATTCAGCATGCAAGCTAGGAGTGTTATTATACAAGATAACTGACAGGTGGTGCCCTTGTATAAAAAGTCTTGGTGGAGTATAGATGAGGAGGCTCAACTCTGTCAATGAAGCTGTTTGGTTTTTACTTCAATAAAGAACACAGGGAAAACAACAAGAAGCTCTGCTCTTTCAACACACTCGTTTAAAAATTTTGAAAGTACTTGCAACTCTCTTCTCACATTTTTTCCTTTTGTCATTTTTTCAAAAATTTTTTCTCAAAAGTGGGGATTTGGCTCACCCTCTCCAAAAGATTGATATTGTTTATATCCTAAATTCGGAAAGCCAAGTAGATTACAACTACGTGTTCAACAGATACAGTGCTACTAATTTGGATAGGTCCTGAGTTTTAGGTTGGAACCAAATATTCTGGAATCGGTTATATGGTTGCGAAGCGTTTTATTAGAGATATACAAATGTTGTATTTGTTATATAATTTTTATATCTGCCTAGCATGGGTTATAATAGTGTACTTTTCTTTTTTCTTTCATTCTATTTGTACTGCTTCTTGATAGAGGTAGATCTCTCCTTTGTCAGGCCTCAGGCTTTTCTCTTTAATTTTGCAAAAAAGTAATCCTTATTTTCAAATATAATTGTACAAAGTTTTATTTAAGTATTTTGGCATCTTAAAAA